CTACTCCAGCCCATGGCCACCCTCCTCGGCCTGCTCGGCTGGGCCTGCTGCACGGCCCGCGACATCCTCCAGGCTCCCCGGAGCTTCTGAGTCTGCCCGAGAGCGCTTGAACCTGCGGTCCGGATACTGGCTGTTGTCAAAAGGCATGCGATGGACACAGAGGACGTGGGTCTTCAGGTTCCCCTTCTGGGAGGCACTGTACGGGCAGTATCGGCACTGGAAGGGCCGGTGACCTGCACGAATGACAAAAGGACGGTTAGATTTCTCAGTTGGTACAGTAAAACACGCTGGTGAAATGCAGCGCCTCAGAAAGCCCACCCGCTGGAGGAAATTGCTGTGTCTTTTCGGTGAGAATAAGAAACTCGTGCTTCTTGATCTTCGCCTGTTAAAAGAAACCTTGTTTTAAAAAGTCTGTGCTTCAGATCTTCCAGAAAAGTGCAGTTATTTCTCTCTCCTCACGCCCAGCCATAAATCCATCAGCCAGTGATACAAACTAAACTCTTGTAAATACAGTGCTATCGTGTACTAGACTGCCTTCCCTTATACTTGTTAATTATCTTTTTTATTGAAGTGCAATTCAGGGATGACAGTGTGCAGACCCTCTGTCTAATAAACATACTTTGTCTTTGGGTGGGTTTCTGAGTCAAGAACGGTATGTTTTATTTTAATCACGCAGATTACTTTTTAATGGAAAGAAATAATGGACTGCGATAACCAAGGCCTCAAACCTGCAAACGTTTACTCCAGTGAGATTACTCCTGCGAGTAAAGAAACAAGAGCACAGAAGTGTTTGCTGGGCTGAGGCCCAAGGTTATCACCAGCTTTAAAATAAAATGTCTAAGCCAGATTAGAAAAGGAATGTTAATGCACAAAATCTGATAGTTGCACTTCTTACGTGTGAAATAGCAACCGGCTGCAAAACGCAGGCATGAATGAAAGATATCGCTCTTCGGTAACTCTATCGATGAGCTCTCCCATATTTTTCAGATTATTGTGACTCTGAGCCTTCATGCTGTATCTGGTTTTGGAGGTTATGTTTCAGCAATCACATTTCAACCTATGCTGGGAAGTTGTTGATGTGTTTTACTGGAACTTTATGAGCTTTGTCTCTCAAATTAACTTAAACCAGGACCATCTGAGGTCAAATGTGCTTAGCTTGCTTTAATTTGCTCAAATAAATGAATAAATAAATGTGCCAGACCATCTACATAAAGCCGGGATAAGTGAAAAACAATACCCTATCTCCAAACACAAAGAGCACATTTTCTTCTGCATTTGTGGTACTATCTAGCAGGCACAAACCAGATGTGTGCATAGCACAGGACTACACTTCCCGCTCTGTGGGAAGGAGCGGGGACCATCTCACCTCCATTTTAGGTGGGAGTTTAAAGGAAAAGAAAAGGGATGCAATGCACTGGTGCCATGCTGCTTGTACAGCAGTGGGAAAATGCTCCTACAGCCCTCCTAGCGTGGAAAACAGATGGGTTAGATTCGTGCTGCTGGTGGCACACCGGCAGGAATATCTCTAGTGAAGGAAATTCACTCGAACCAGCACTATGTGTTGCTCAAATAACCTGCTACTTTTATCACAAAGCAAAACCATCACTTGATGGCTGAGTCCTCCCAAACACACTGCCTGCTTCCCAGAGGGAAGAAGCACCAAGTCTTTTACATAGTCAGAAAAACCCTATGCCTCAGGACTACAGTCAAGTTTCCTTTTTTGAGGATAAAAGGCATCCTCTCCACCCTTTGCTTTTACAAATTGAAGATTGCCAAAAGGGTGACCACCCCTCAGGACATCTAACTGACACATTTATGCATAGATCTGGGGATGGAGTTGGTTCTTTCCTGGATAAATAAAGGTATTTCCCTCAACAAATTCATAAGAATAAAAATAATGAAATCTGCAAGTTGCTGATCTTTACAATGCTAAACTTCAGTGGAAAATTTTGTAGCAGTGGAAAAAAAACCAACAAACTTCTACATAGATAATGTTACAGAAAATGGATTTGGCTTTTATAGAAAAAAAAAAAAAATCAACTGGAAGATATGAGGAAATAGTCAAACGAGATTGAAAGCATCCCTAGTGCCTTTTAGAGTCAATCCTAAAATCAATACAGAACCACAAAATGCTTGAAAAATTTAGAATATAACAGTTTTGAAAACTGGAAGCACTCTCAAAATTGTCGGAGTGTGAAAAAGGTCCAGAGAAAATCTGATTTCAGACAACCTAGAAATAGTTGAAAACTCAGAAAATAAAATAAAATAAAACAAAATCATCACATTTACTCCTTTGACTGTCAGAAATTGAAATAGTCACTAGAATTCAGAACTCAGTTCCAGATTCTTTAATTCCTCCTCCTTTTTCTCCCTCTTGGATAAAGCCTCTGCCCAGGCAGAAACACCTGGGACAAAGTGGTTGAAATGTTGTGTAAAAGGAAGAAGAACTCGCTCTGTGAAGGACCGTAGTGTTTTTTAACTTTCTGTCTGCCACCATCACATTCACCCATACACTGCTGCATCCATACCAGCAGCACCAGTTCCATTCCAGTATTTCTTGTTTCATTTGAACATCTGATGACTGCTCCCCCTCTAAGAACAAATAAACCGCTTAGTTGTGACTAATGGTACAGCTTGCACTCGGGTCTTGTTTACTTCATTACTACCAATGCTATGCAAAAAGCAAAAGATATCCTGGCATTTGGACCATCTTATATGCTGGGTGTACCAAAGAAGATATATGTCCTCGATCACTGCTCCGATCAGCAGCATGCAGGGAGCACACACACAAAGCCACGGGTACAATGTGCACAGTACCCACGCTATGAATGCCTCAGGCACCATGTAGCATGGAAAGATTTGGACTCTTCCAGGTAGAATGAGTAGTGCTCGCTAACAGCACGAGATTTCACCAAGCAGCTCTTAGCGCTTTGGCCGTAAGTAGCTACCATTAAATGGCCAACACATTCCTAACTATCCCCCACAAATTTTAAACAAAGAATCCACAACCATTTGACGGAGCTAACAACCTCATATGTGCCAGAATAAAAGCAAACTCTTTCTGCCCACCCCCAAACCAAATTCAAGCCTGTGCAGTTCTGTATGGAGAATGTCATTTATTAATTCAATGAACTTTAATAAATCAGACAACATAAAACACACCTAGAAGGATTCAGTTCTGCATCACCTCCCCCACAACTTACTTTTTCAGGCCATCAAAATTTCACATCCCTGCCTTGTGAAAAGTAAGTACACAATAAGTTAATTTGTATTGTCACTATGCAGTACAACTGTGGTAAAGAGCACATTCATTTTTAATCCGATATGAATAATATATAAATATGTATACAGAGTGAGGGTCATAGGAAAGCAAGCGGTACATTGTTTACAGCAGAAGTAGTACAAAAACTAGAGATTATTTTCACTTGCAAAGATAACAATATCTGCAATTTGCTTGTAACTAAGGGGTGAAAGAAAATACCCATTTCTCTTAGGTAGCCCATCCATTAATTATAGCTCAAAAACTTGTTGTGGGCAGAAGGCTCTTAAAATAACCTTTTCCAGATAAGTTGGCAATAAATTTATAATGTTTTATCTATCCGTGTTTGGTAGGTTCTTTCCTAGCAAGCTATAGTTCATATATATTTCACCCATTACATATCTTCCAATAGAATTATATGAAAGCCCTCAAAAAAAAAAAAAAAAAAAAAAAAAAAAAAAGGAAAAGGAAAAGAAAAAAAAGAAATCAAGAAAGCTTCCTGATATTTCAAGAGATAATGTGTAATGCATTGCATTTGTAGTAGGGATAATTAGACAAAAGGCAGGCCAACAACGGGAGCGAATTATGGTGCATCTTTCTTAGATAAAAAAAGTGAAGATAGAGGACAATGTGTTGTTTGCAGCTGAAATAATCCTGCTGTAGAGTAACATGCTACGAAGTATGTGACCCAAGCGTGTGAAAAGAGTTAGTGATCCTCTGGACTGAAGCTGAAAGTCTAAGGAAACTGAGCCACAGAAAATAACAATGACAAAATAGTTAAGCTGACACCAGCAATGGCTGGAGTCGAAGAACAGTAACATTTTAAGGTGGTACGGATTGCCCCAGGAGTGTTGATTATCTCCAGCTCCTGCTGAAGCTGGTTCTCTGAAGTGATCCAGACCTTCCTGGATAAGGCCCAGCACGGACAGCAGTGCTGAAGTAGCCTGGGCTGCCCCTCATTTCATCTGTACCTGGAGAGAACCAGGAGCCAGAATGGAACACGTCTTCTGGTCAGAACAGAGAACCCTTTGTGGAATGACTATGTAGAAAAATCCCTTAATGGCTGAAAGCAGTCCGCCTTTTTAAAAAAATATGCTGCTTTGTTAATTTAGGCTTTGAGAAAAAAAAAAGTTTGTTTTCTTTCTTTCAAGTTTGTGATCTGATATGTTGCTTTGTGACACATCACGTCAGCCTGCATCAGTCACATCGTGTTAGGTTTCATAACATGGCATGACTGATGCAGCCCAACATGGTGCTTCAACTGAATGGAGTCAGAAAATGCAGCTTTTTGGAAAGCCATGGAGCTCAAAGTGTTGCTGTTTTAATGACAATTTAAAGGAAAATATATTTAAAGCAGAAGCCTGGGATTTAAATAAAGCTACTACCCACAACTGAGTTGTTAAGGATTGAAATATTTGCCAAACCTATTTTACTTTATTCTATCATTAAAAGTCAAACAGTAGTATTGAAAAACATGAAAACTCAATGTCAACATAGTGTCATTGGGTTACTCACTGTAATCAAAACTGCTGATAGTTACTAATTTATTAACTTTGATATGGGTCCATTATTTAAGATTAGCACAAAGGAATATACAAACAACGGAGAGAGAAAGAGTGATGAATGCTAAAGTCTTTCTCATTAAAAAAATCATTTACATGGTCAAGCTGCATTAATTCTCCACTTCTAAAAATATTTGATCAGCATCCAAATTCTATAAAAATTTCTGCAAAGAAACATCTTATTTTTGTGGTATTACAGGCACATATGTAGGGGGTTGCACTAAAACGTAAAAATGGGCATTGGACTAGTCATATGAATATGATCAGGAATTTATTCCAGATTGTTAAAAGTGTACTAATCACAGCAAAATCATGGCTTTCTCCCAAAGCAGCAAGAAAACGGTAATTTGAAAGAAAAATGCCAATAATACATCACACGCAAGCCGTCTGTTGTCACCACTACACCACTTTT